AAATTAAAATATTGAATATATATATATTCATGAATTGAATTATACAATGCTATACAATATGATGTAGATGATTTATAAATTAACCATATAAAACATTCAAAAATTAATTTGAGTATGATAGGGAAAATCTTATATTATAGAATTTCAAGGGACTACATCACTATTCCTTAATTAATAATTTATAAGATTAGGATAGGTTATGCTGCTCCAATTTTCATACATGAATGAAGAAAAGTTTTTTTTTCCTCCAAATACATAATATATAGAAATTAATGCCAATTTTCTTTCAATTTGTTTGGACAATTGCTCCAATCAAGGGAGTGAAGATTTGATAGTTATTAAAATAGCTATCATATTGGTCAGGATGATGCTATTGAGACAAGTTTTTATGTTTTATTTTGGGGTTGGATAAAACTCAATTGAATTATTAATATGTTTTATTAATTCCTCATAAAAGTTTATGATGTACTCTTACTTTGAATCACTGATGAATAAAGTTACTTTGGTCTGCTTACGTGCATCTTTTTTAAAACTTGTTAGTCAATCCTTCCTTTGGGAATTTTGGTTAGTTCTTAGTCGTTTTAAGTGCTCTAAACCCTATTTTTATGAGTTTTTAGCATGGAAGCCCCTTTTACTACCACTCATACAACTCAACAACTAAATTAACATTTTACTACAACCATGAAAGTCTTACAATATCACAGCTTTATCTTCCTTCACCTTTCCTTTAAAACCCTTAACCTAAACCTTTGGAGTTTACCCTAAGAATCTTCTAAGTCCTCCACAAACTTCCCAACTACTTCTTTAAATACCTCCAACCTTGAAACCACATTTCAACCACTTATTCAAGATTTTCCTTGTTCGAAGTTAAATATATTTCCATTTAGATGCTTCATTAAATTATCCCCACTCAATTGCTAACTCTAAACAAACCATGTTAGTCACCATTCTCCTCCAATTCTCCCTCTCATCGAAAGTCTCCACATATCAAAGTAAGACACGATGAAGTAATATTATGTATTCTCTCATAAAAAAATTCTTTAATTTCAAATATCAATATCACATTTAATGGAGCAAAAGTGTGCAACCAGAGCATTGAAGGCACAATAACAGGAAGTGCAACAACTACTACAACAATAAGGTTTCTACTAGTGCCACAAATGACTAGTGATTTATTCTACATTTGTGGCGGGTCACATTTACTTTCTCTTCAACTATTAAAATACATTATTTTGATATATTAATCCTAACACATAAATCTATAATTTTTGATATTTGCTACACAAATGTATGAATTAATTCGCATCATCTCTAAGTAGAGGGCACCATATAAAGCCATGCATATCCTAACATAAAGCTAGGACTGTAAAAAAAACTCGTCGTTCGCGAACAACTCGTGTTTGCCTCGTCAAATAGCTCATATTCAACTTGTTCTTTAAGCAATTGAGCCGAATACGAATAATTTTTTTGAACTCGATTCATAAACAAGTTGAATACGAACAAAAGTTTGTTCAATCATGTTTAGATTTCATTTGTTCCTTTTGGCCTAAATATTTAAATAATAAAAAAATAATACATAAAAGTTAAAATAACAGTATATTTAATATGATATCAAAAAATTTAGTTGTACGCATTTTTTATTTTAATTATAGAAAATAATTTTTTGACAATTAACAAATTAGTCATCTTCATTAGTAGAATTTAATAATTTATATCATTGAATATGAAATATTATTTATTTCCTTTAAGAAAAATAAATATTTAATTAAAAAACATTCTTACTCAAACCCGCCGGACAAAAATTACGCGGGAAAATTTTTTAAAAGCTCAAGGCCACGCGATCGCGCCGCCTTTTCCGGAGCTTCCGATGACGTGTCATATGAGCAGCGCCAGCTGTACACTGCATGAGTAGCCACTGTGGGACCATTAAAATACAGTTGTCGAATAAGGATTCGTCAGGATTCATATGCGGCGGCTTGAGATCCATGTGGCTGGTTACATGGATAGCATTTAAATATTTAATATTATAATAATAAATAACATTATTACTATTTTGGTGGTGTTTAGCTGCTTTCCATATTTAATGTTAAGTAGGATTTAATGAATCACATAAATTCAGATTTTATAAATTCATATTTAATAGAAAAATAAGCCTCAGTCAAATTCTTCAAATTATTGTGTGAATCGGGCTGTCAAGATGGTTCGTTATTCGCGAACAGCTCGTGCCTGACTCATTAAGAAATTTGTGTTTAATTCGTTCTTTAAGTTAACGAATCGAACACGAACAAAAATATGTTCAACCGTGTTTAACTCGAAATACTACTTATCAATTATATATATATACTCAATAAATATTTGTTCGTGTTCGGCTTGTCAGCCCTATCGATGAATTTCAGGGGG